CCACGGAGGATGGACCCGGCCAGGATTGCGGGGTCTCATTACGCGGAGAATTTATAAAATCCTCTATCGGTCATAACGAGGAAACGTGTTTGCGCTTCGAGGGAACGTGTTCTAATTACGCAAACACCGGTGGATGTATCATATCCTTAAAAAGGCTCGCGAGTCCGCCACTTAGGAAATATATTATTAAATTTATCTCGTCCTTTACATCGAAACAAATTGGCTCCTGTTCCCGACCGACCATCTTTCACGCTCCTCCGGCTACCCTGCAGCGTTCGGGCACGTAACGAAGCAGGCAGACTCGCTGGAATCTCATGCGCGATATTAATTAACGGCCAGGGATATAAATATCTCGCGATTGTTCGATTGTCCCATTCTTCGCTTCTCGCGAACCATCTATTTTCGACGCGTCTTCGAATCGAATAAATAAAGAGAAGATCGTCGCGAAGATCGGTTTCGGGTCGACTCTGAACGCGAGGAAAAGGTTGAAGAGAAAAAAGCGACGGCGTAGCTTCTCGCGACGCTGAAAGCTGCTAGACTTTTCAGTAGCGTAGTAAAATTCTCGGAACAGACTTCGGAATACGTCCGAGCGAACGAGACGCCGGTTTGCGGGTATCGAACGGGGCTCGTGTCGCCGATTACCGATTACGAGGCGGTTAAAGATTTCTTTGAAAGCGGCCGAACGTAAAATCCGCTCGATTGCACGGATTTCTACGGGTCTGGCGAAGAGCTCGCACGCGTTTCCCACGGATGTGTAGCAATAAAATCAACGCTATTTGTTCGACGTACAGGTTTTACGAGCGAACGGGCTGCATTGAGCGGGCTGCTGCATCGGTGTTGGACGACGTCGGCGTCGGCAGCGAAGTGGTCCGTGTAAAAGAAGGCAGGAAGACCGTGAACCGGCAAGTGGCGTCCGGTAAAGTGGACCGCGTGAAAGGCGCCTTATTGTCGCGCTCGCTCGCCTTTGGCTCTGTGCTCTTCAATGAGCACTTCCTATCGCGATCGACGCCGCGACAAAGCCCGGCTTTCACCGGCCAGACGCTGGACGCCGCGTGAAAAGGGCGACGTATCGCGTTTCCACCGCTTCGCGGATCGAAATATGCCCGTTGGACGAGCGAAACTGTCCCCGGCTCGCGTAATTCGGACGATGGATGCAGCCTTTCACGGACGACGGCTCTTTAAACGGACCAGAGATCTTCGCGCGATGCGGATGAGGAAGAAAAGTCGGACTAACGGGGTCGTGGGGAAATTCGCAGCGACTAGGTGAAAAGAAGTACGGGGCAGAGAGCTATGGTCCGTTCGTTGCGAATCGGCCGGTATTAACGATATTCAATCATTTCTAAATTCTCGACTGAGAGTCACCGTTCGAGTGCAAAGGGTTAATACGAGGAATCGAGTCGTTGCTTTCAAATGGAAGCAATGAAAATGAACGTGTCGTCGATGCGTTCGAGCTGTTAGCGACGATTATAAGTGACAAAGGTATATTACCAGCGAATGGCGTCGGCAACGGCTAATTAACGCGTTAATCGCGTCCCGTCGGCCGGACTGGGTAAATCGGTATGCAAAGGGACGCGTGACTAAAGGAAGACGCGGATGGAACCGGGAGTTCCGTGCGGCAGATGATAAATGGCGAAAACGCGATAAGGGGCAAGGAAAACAAGGGTGAAGCTCTGCAATTAAAATTCAGTAACTCGCTTACCGAAATACGCGTCTCGATTGTAGTTGTACCGTTTAATACGATAAAGGCAGCCGAGCTTTACGCGGTGTACAAATCACCCCGCAATCAGAGCTTTCAATTGCTTTTAGACGAAACCGTGAAGCGTTACGCCACTAAGGGGATGTGGACACGAATTAATAGCGTATTTTGCAGCATCGCGACGTCTCGTTGACGACCGGCCAAGCGATTCGTTATCCGACTCCTTTCCATTCATTATCCATCTGACGCTTTTTGTTCGTGTTTCCCGCGAGATAATCTCCCTTCCGAGGCACTTGCTTCTATTATCACTGACAACACCGGCTTGCTATCCCCTTATCTTTCGGCGACAAACAGCCTTTCGTCGCGTCGAAAACAATGCCTTCATCTCGCGTTGCACCGCGTCCGAGCAAATTTTTCTCGTCCACAATTACGTCGAGGAACGTCCCTCAAAGATTCGTCAAAGTGTCCCGAGTTACACGCGTGGCTGCAACTCGTAGAATAATCGGCGTTTATCGGCGACGATGACAACGCGCGCGATGAAACATGGCGATTTAAAGACACTCGTCGAGAAGTAAGGTAATAATATTTTGCAAATAAATTAATTAATACCACCGAGGTAGCTGTTGTCGTGTTGGACAAAGATAAATCGTTCGTTTAATTGGATTCCCGTAACGATGCAGAGATGCAAGGAAGTGTAAACGGTGAAATATTTAGCGCGAGCTGTACGACTAATTAATGGAACGGGATTACGGTGTAATAAACTGTACGGTAGCGATTGTTCGAATTTAACGTATCAATCGTTGCGTTTCCTTTCGCGCCGTGACGCGAATTCATAGCCTCGCTAACGAGCCGTTTTCTTTTTCTCCGCGCGGCGGCACGCTCTCGGAGCCTCTAATTAACGAAGAAACTAAAATATAGAAAAGGCAAGTCGCGCGAATGTTTAATAATCGGTAGAAATTCAGCCGGCGGCCAAGTGTAACCGTAGAACGGTATAAACGTTTGCGGTTAGTTTACGGTACGAATCGAATTATATCTCGCCATCGAGCTTCTCGTCCGAAAGCATGGCAAAGGAAACAAAGCGAGTGGAGAGAAATAGACAGAGGGAAACGGAAAGGGACAGAGGCGGAGAGTGACGCGGTGCAAAACATTTTCAGAAGCCAACTCCCCCGCTCGTTAGCGTCGCGAATTTTATTTGCATCCAATTAAAATGCAACTTTGCTAAATACTTCCAATACTTTTGCGATCGCGACCCGCTCGATAAACTTGCAAATGTTTTGCGGTGGCGAAATTAAACCTTGCGCGCGCACTTGTACACCGGCGGCGAACGAAGGGTAGGAAAGAGAACGGGAGAGACGGTGGGAAGTGAAAAGGGGAAAAAAATTTCTCGAAATTTTCCCGATCATTCATCGAGCGTTTGCACGTTTGTCCGTGAACGAAGTAAAAACGAGTTTGTTCGATCGTTTTCCAGGCACGCACCGCTGCAAAGAACCGCGAATGTTGCTGGTCGAGCTGTGGACAAGCGGAGCGTTGATCATCGGCAGCTCCTTTGAACGGTGAACGCCCCTTTAATAACCAGTCAACCACGCGAAGTATTTCATTAGAGGCCGGAGATCCCAGCGGCGTCGGAGGGACAGGGACGAAGAAGGATGGGCGTGCTGGCGTCGCGTGATACGAATCCACGAGTTTAGAGGAACCAGAAGCTCGCCTTTGACGCCGTTCTCTTGTCCGCCGCGAGGGGAAGTACGATGTAGCACAATTCCGCCACGACCAGGGACTACGGAAAGTTTAATAAGTGTCCGTGCGCTGCAACAAGTACCTGCACATGTTCCGACGTCATTGCGCCAGCGACGGAGATTGCTATCGATTCGGAAATGTGACTGGGTACGGGCGTCTCGTCGACGGATAAGGCACCCCTCGATCCAGAGATGTATCAGTGGGGACGAGTCTCGTTCGCTTCGAGTTCGTCTATCGAACGATCGGCAGCATCGGAACGCAGAAGAAGACGTAGCCAGGCTGAGACCGTGCCACCGTTTCATCCACTTTGATGTATTCCGAGCGTTTAGAGTCTACCGGAATAGCTGCAGACTCCGGAACGTCGATAGATCCGAGTCAAGAATGACGACAGCGTCGCAAAACGGGACAAAGATGGCGCCCGGATTGTCTCTAGAATGTTAATAGAGCAGGGGGACTAGTCGGTACCGGTGTCACGAGCATAATGGATACGACGGTGGATCCAAAGAGATTAAATTACCGGCTGGCAAGGATCTGAAAGTCGTCCAGCCTTTCCATTAAAATCGACGCGCGTGGGACGCGTACGGAACGCCTGACTCTCCACGCTGCTCCTCGACTTCCGCGTCTCGCAGCCACTGTGATTTTTAACGGAATTTCCCACGCGTTGGCCGTGATGCTCGAGAGATCAGTTTGCGAATCCATTGCGAGAGGGCGCCTCCTCGAAGCAGTCTCGTGTATCCTATTCTTTCCGCTCTTCGCTACCTCGAAGTGGAATTTATTTCCAATCCGAGAGCACCCGCACAGCCGCGACGGCGGTGCCAGCTACGTATCCCCGAAAATACACGGTCCGTAGAGACAGCTAGCTCCATCGAACGGAATAGAAGGTGGCTGAGGATCAGCGGTCGCAGATCGACTCACCTCTGACGGGGAATTCTCCTATTCGAGGGAACGACCTCCGATTCTCGTTCCCGCGAAACATCCGAGACACCTCGACGCGGTTCAAAGAGCGGTAACGAGCCGAGACGACGGGTGTCTGCGAGTAATTCGACGGCGCGCTTAAAAAGCTTTCAGTGGAGAGACACGCACCATTCGCGGAGGAAGTGGGTTCGGTGTAGCGGCTCGGAGAAGGAGGTGGAGCCGCATAGACTATGATACCAGTTTGATAACGCGGGTCAGAGACTCGGTGCACGGTCGCGAGCTACTACGTCCGTGTCTGGCCCGACCAGCCGTGTTCATTCCCTGGCAGCGGTGGTTTGGTTGGCCGAGAGAGTTGGAGGAGAGCCGAAACAGGGGGATCAAGGGTGAAGGAGACGGGGATAGAAGTCGAAGACGAGGCAGCAAGCACAGGGGATACGCGCGCCAAGGAAGAGAGAATTCGGAGATTATAGAGAGTGTGCACGTGTGGGAGGGGGAGGGAGTGGGTGGACGAAAGTAAGAGACAAAGAAGGGGTAAGGGATTCGTAGGTGGAAGAAGGGAAGAAGGGAACAACGGACTGCAACGTGAAGGTGGAAGTTGAAGAGGAGGTGGAGGTGGAGGAGGAGGAGGAGGAGGAGGAGGAGGAAAGCAGGGAAGTTTCCGTCTGTCCAAAGTGGATGGGGGTGAAAATGTTCGGAGTGTTGCTGGCATGTGTCTGGCTGGTTGCCGGCTCCCCGTTACATCCCTGGCCGCTAATACCGCACAAAGGTATGTGTGCCCGATCTACCAGTAATTTCTTATTGCTTCTTTTTCTAGAGGAAATAAACCCGATGATTATGAACCCACTCGACCACGATTTTCGTCCAAGAACGAAAGTATCGTTGCCGGAATTTTTTATTCATCGAAGACAGAGGGAACTTTTTCGCAGTTCCTCTCGTTCCCATTGTTGTTTATCGCTGTGTACGTTTCCCTTTTTTACATCTTGAACATACGCCGCTCTTTGTGATGCGGTTTAGTAGAAGGTCGACGGTTTGTTGCGACTCTCTTTTTTATTTTCCTTTTTTTTCCGCCCGGTCCTTTTTTCATCGAAATTACAGGAGCACCAACGAGAGAGCTGCAGCACTCTTTCACCCTCTGCCCCTAACGCTGTTGGCAGACTGTAGTTTTACGGCTGACGCGAACACCGTAATTTAAAATACTCCGCGATAAAAGAGACGAACGATAACGGCTTAACAACGAGAGCAAAAAGTTATTCCATCTCGCAACGTTGATAATCCGATGTAGAAAAGTTGCCCGACGTTTTTCTGAAGTTCTTAACGCTGTGTTAAACGTTCTCGGGTTCACCGTGACTAACGATGATAGAGAACGTACTCCGCTGAACCACTGTTAGGGAACTGTCGGTTTTCTTTATACCCTTCTTTGTTAATTCAAAGTTTCAGCATCAACTTGCTTCATTAAAAATACGCTCGTCGGGTTACAAAAATGGTATCGTTAAGGGAAGAAGTTTATAACGTTACGTCTCTGCCTAAATCTACGCGCTCGGTGGTCTCGAGTGGAACGAGATCGTACTTTATCGTCCACTGTACTCGCCCAATCGATCGAGCTTCTCGAAAATCTCCAAATATGTTTCACATTTGTGCAAAAAGCCACAATTAACTCCGCTTTCGGATTTTCCAAAATACCAGCGCCAAAGTTTAAAATACACTTTCGTCTCTTATTTTGTGCGGAGTTAATCGATTTGACAAACGAGTAGTACGTTCGAGGAATCGCGGACGCGACGTTATTATATACCTAACTACTGCCTACGGCAAAGCCTAATATCAATTATCCCTTTCCACGGAAAAACGATCTCCCTTCGCGTAGACGATTTAGTATTTCGTGGAAACGATATGGAAACTGTGACAACGATTACTGCGCGCCGTGTTAACGATCTCGAGAAGGTGATGGAACGGTTCCGCGTAGAAAACCATCCCGCGGCGCCAGACACAAAGAAAAGTAGCCCGGCTTTTCCGGAACTCTTTGTATCGGTATCGTCGTTCTCTCTTTTGTGCCGTCGCTTTCTTCGAGCTCCGTGGATGGAAATGAAGACACGAACCGACGGTAAATCGAGCGACGCGCACACCGGAAAGGCACGCTCGATTTCGCAAACGCGCGGCTCCGACTATTACGCGGCTTTGCTCGCGTAATCGCGCCTCCATTTCGGGAATTAGTCCATCAGGATTCAACGTCGCGTGAGATCAACCGACTCGTGTCAACGCAGCTATCGTTTCTTTCCTGTCTACCATTTAAAAAAAAAAAAAGAGAAGAGAAAAAAGCGAGAGAGAGAGAGAGAGGGGGGGGGAACAAAAAGAGCCACAACAACGAAACGAAATAAAACGGAGGGAAAATAAAAAAAAAAAAAGGAGAGGAGAAAAAAATGTTGCCACTCGTGGAAACTAGCCTGATCCCATCCTCCAAGCGCGAGAATACCGCGCACGAACGTTTCGAGGAGTAATTGGTGTGACGTCCCTCGAGTTTCCACCCCGAGAACGATGCTGATAGACGCAACTGGTCTCGCACAGAGGGTTTCGATTGAAGTTTTTTCATCTTGATGAAATTAATTCGTTAAAACGACGGGCAAGTTGCCGGGAAGAGCGCAACCGTTGTTCCTTTTTTATCCCGGATTCTCTGGTTGCCCAGTTCCGTATCGATTAACAAGTTCGCGCGTCAAACTTCGCCCTCCCTTCTTATCCGAGTAATAACCCAGTAACAAAGCGAGATTAACGGAATTTAAGAATTCGCAAGTTCGAACAGCTAATTTGCGACGCGAGCTTTTAATCAACAGCATTTCGCTGTCTCGCATTTCATTCCGCGCGCGTCCCTGCACGAATTCCCACGGCAAACGGATTTCGCTCGAAATAGACGACAAGAAGAGAGAGGGAGAGAGAGAGAGAGAGAGAGAGAGATAGAGAGAAGTAAGAGGGATCCTCGATCAACTGCTCGTCGGTCTGCTCGAGGCAGAGCTTCGAATCGGTGATCGAAATCGCGCGTGCGAAGGCAAACGGGCCGGGAAGGATAAATATTTAAGCTAGTCTCGGGGTGCGCGACGACAGTGCACGCCACTGGCCAAGGGAAAAATTTAATACCTGCACCCTCGCCCCCATGCGTGGTCGCATTACGCGAAAATGTCAGCGCAATTAGAGCAACAAACGAAACAATTTCATTACGCGTACCGAGCAATGTGTCCCTCCTCTCTGATACGTCGTATCTAATTTGGACAAGTCTGTCTCAAAAGAGCAACTCATGCGGCAATGGAACACGGGAAGACAAAGGTCGAAATTAAGCATCGCTTCGCTACTTCGGGCATCGAATCCCGACTTTTCGTATTATGCACTTCGCGCGTCATTTTTCGAACGTTCCAGCGCTCGTTATATCGGCATCCAGCGGATCCAGTTAATGGATCACTCGAATTTTCGGTGAACCTTTTTGCAACGAAACTTGAAAATCCCCTGCACTTTGCGCGAAGTTTATACGGTTTGAACGATTAAAAATTCCCGCATTTCCTCCATCGCTATTGTTCGCGATTTCTTAACACACTCTCTCTCTCTCGATCGATCGACATTTTTCGCGTATACGAGTTTACCGATTTTTCCTTTTTCAAAGATTTTTCAGCAATCGATCGGAACGAAAAAACAGGGCACGCGTTTGACAGCGATCCCGTTGCGCGTATCAGCAATCGCTATCCCTATCTTACCTACCCTAGCAGCTACCCTCAGGAAACTGGAAGCAGACGATACGTGTTCCAGCTCAGTGTTCATTTTTTTTTGCTGTTTAATATTTAGGTAATGGCGAGCCGGAGCTCGTTTGAGCCGCATTTCGGGAACAGCAAATAATTAGGCCGTGTTCGTGTGAATGGTTCGAGGGTGGATGGGGGTGGCATTAGGCGGAGAGAAAAATAGGCAGCGCGACGTTTCAGCGCATCGACGTCGGAATAAACGATCCCCGGTGCAAAGTAAAAAAAAAAAACAGAAGCGAATGTCTGTTTCAATCGAACCTTTGTCAGCGCTCCTGCAAATTTTTGTACCCATTTTTGCGAAAATTCGGGGAAATCGCGCCGTATCGTATCGTATCGCGACGTTCGTCATTTAAAGTGCACCCCGCCCGTTTCCCTTTTTCCATCCTTCCTTTTTTCCCCCGTTATTCCGCCCCTTTCCACTCGTCTCTTTTCCCCGACCATTATCTCGATCGCCGTTGAATCCTGCGAGATCCTATTCCCCGGCGAATTAAGCGAAATCGCGTGAAATTTCACGATGAGAACGAAACACACCGCGGCAGTGACTTTTATTTCACCGAGCGATGAAATCGGAGGCGTCGATTCCGCGAGGAAAGTTTCATGCTCTGCCCGACAAGTGATAAATGCACTGGATCGTAAATTTTATCGCGACGTTCGACGCAATTTTGCCCGAATTTTATCGAAAAGCCGCGCAAACAGGAGAAAGGAAGGGGATAGCTGTCGAGGGAGATATAAAGGAAATTCCAGCGTTTCGAGTGAACCTGTGCCGATCAGCTAGATGGACGTTACAGGATCGTTACATAGCGCTGCCGATAAATTAGCCTGGCCAGCTGCACCGGTACACCCCATCTTCTCGTCAGCCGTTTGCAAGTATCTACTTTGCATTACGGGCGACACGTTCTCGAGTGCAAACCAAACGCGGCTGCGCGCCCGCGATGAATAATACGCGGTGAAACTGTACACCGTATAATTGCATATTTTTGCGGCGACTAATGCACTCGCGGTTCGCGGCCGTTCGTTACGCGTGCCATTCGGCCACGGCCGCGATGCGAATGTTTTACAAATTCGACTGATGACCGTCGAATATTCCGCTGACCGAGGGAATCCGGATCGATATCGGGGCTCGATTTTTCTCCCTCTCTTTTTCCTTTTCCTTTTTCTCTTCTCCTCCCATATACATACTCACACTCGGCTGCAACGGATAACCTTTGTGGTCTGTTTATTAAAAACTGGCCAGTCGATTCGACTTTTAATAGAAATAGCTCCAAGGAGAAACAAAAACGCGCGTTTGACCCGCGTCCGACCAAGCACGGTCTAACACCACTTGCGTCGCGCGGTAATTGGGAAATCGATTTCCCTAAACTTACACCGGTATCTATCTTTACGTGTACGTGTGTGTATACACAACGATGATTCGAATTTGTTAATTAACTCGTTTAACGGATAGAATCCCGAAGATTAAGGGTTGCATTTGGACGGGTTCCAACTCGCGACGTGACCAAAATGGAGAAAGCAGTGGCGAGTAGCTCTCAACGTACGTACGTACCTACGTTTCTCTCCGTTCCGAGAGGAGATTGTCTTTCAAAAGCAGCTCGGCGAGCGGCTGCGAAATCGTTAAAAGCGAGCTGCGTAGAGGCAGAGGAAGAGGTCGAAAGACAAAGCCGGATAGCAGCCTGGAGCGCATCCTGCACTTTGAAATCCGAGTAACCGCCTAAATAAGAAGGACGCGCGGCGTGTCGAGGGCGGTCGTAATTCATACGAAAAATCAAGGTGACTGCTGGCGGGCAGATTATACGAGGCGAAGCTAACCGTGCTGGTTAACGTTGGCGTCGCGACGCTGATGGCTCCGCGGAGGGAAAAGTTAGAGTCGCGTAACAAGGACGAGGCCGTGGAATATAAAATTGCATATTCATACGTAGCTCGAGGCGAACGGTGGCTGCACGGCTGTCGTCTTATCCGAACGGGCCAACGGGGTGCGTTATCGAATCGTTTTCGC